GTGGCGCTCACGCACGACCCTAACAGGAGTGTGACTGCGAACCGCTCTCGTGGTCACGTCTTGTCGTCATCCTCATCGTCCTCCCTCCTCCTCCTCCTCCTCCTCCTCCTCCTCCTTCCTGCGCTTCCACCACTTCGTTTTTTCCCAACCATCCTGTGGTGTGGGGTCCTCGTTTTGAAGAGATAGTGCCCGCGTCCACGTCTCTCCTCCTCCTCCCGCACCTCCTCCTCCCGCTCCTCCCTCCTCCTCCTCCCGCTTCTCCCTCCTCCCATCACCCCTTTCACTTTGGCACGCCCGTCACACGTTTCGTGGCCCCATAGAGAGCTCCACCTAAGGCCCCAGTGGCTGCGCCCGCATGCCGCCACCCCTTCATTTTGGCACACCCCTCGCACGTTTCGTGGCCCCATAGGGAGCTCCACCTAAGGCCCCAGTGGCTGCGCCCGCATGCCTTTAGCACCTCATTTTGGCACACCCATCGCACGTTTCGTGGTCCAATGGGGAGTTCCACCTAAGGCCCCACTGGCTGCGCCCTCATGCGGCCACCCCCTCATTTTGGGACACCCCTCAAACATTTCGAGGTCCCATCTGGTGGTCCACCTATGGCCCTGGTGGTTGCGCCCGCGTGCGGCCAACCCCTCATTTTGGTACACCCTTCACACAATTCGTGGCTCCATAGGGAGATCCACCTAAGGCCCAGTGGCTGCATGCCGCCACCCCTTCATTTTGGCACACCCCTCACACGTTTCGTGGCCCCATGAGGGGCTCCACCTCAGTCCCCAGTGGCTGCGCCTGCATGCCGCCACCCCTTCATGTTGGCACATCCCGTTCTGGCTGACTTCCGCGCCCCCAGGCGGGCTGAGCGGCAGCGCCCGCATGGCAGCGCCACCCCATTTCGGCGCTCTTTTTATACATTTTTCGGCTCCGTCGGGAGCTCCATCGGTGGCGGTTCTCACACCGGCGGTACCCACAATTGCATATGGTCGGGTCCTTCGCAATTTTTTGTCTTGCTGTTGTTGACCTCACCATTGAACAATAACTAGTGTTGATCTCCCCTCCGGTGACCATTGTTTTTTCAATTGAGGTGCTTCCCCCGGGGCTCGCACGCTGTCTTTCATCAGGGAAAGTCACTAGGCTCAAACTGTGCCCCTGGCCCCCGGTTTACTACAACAACGGCTCCCGCCTGAGACTTTCTCACAATTTAGTCAGAACCCCCGCTGCCGCCTGAGACATCCTCGCATTCGATCAGGAATCGCGCTCTCGCTTGGGACTTCCTTGCACTTTATTCCGGAATCGCTCTCTCGGCGCTCTAGAGTCGCGCTTTCGCTCGAGACTTAGGCAATTTCCTCAAGCGCTGCGCTCCCGACACTGAGGCATCCAGGAGTGGCGCTCACGCTTAGGACTCCCTCGCAGCTTACTTAGATCGGAACCTCGCTGCCCTTCGTGGACCCGATGCAGCCCTTCGTGGCTCCCTCGCTGCCCTTCGTGGCCCCGTTGCAGCCCTTGGTGGCCCCCTCGCTGCTCTTCGTGGCCCCGTTGCAGCCCTTCGTGGCTCCCTCGCAGCCCTTCGTGGCCCCGTTGCAGCCCTTGGTGGCCCCCTCGCTGCCCTTCGTGGCCCCGTTGCAGCCCTTCGTGGCCCCTCGCTGCCCTTCGTGGCCCTGTTGCAGTCCTTCGTGGCCCCCTTGCTGCCCTTCGTGGCCCCGTTGCAGCCCTTCGTGGCCCCGTCGTTCCTCTCTGTGGCCCCATGTATGCCTGCCCTTCGTGTCCCCCGCTCGTTCGCGCCCGTCGTGGCCCCGTATGCTGTCGCCCTTCGTGGCCCCCTCGCTGCTCTTCGTGGCCCCGTTGCTACCCTCAATGGCCCCGTCCTTGCCCTCTGCGGCCCAATATACGCATGCCCTTCGTGGGCCCCGTTTGTTCGCGCCCGTCGTGGCCCCATATGCATGCCCTTCGTGGTCCCGCTGTCGCCCTTTGTGGCCCCCTCGCTGCCCAATGTGGCCCCGTTGCTACCCTCAGTGGCCCCGTCGTTGCTCTCTGTGACCTGACTTTCGTGGCCCCCGCTCGTTCGCGCCCTTCGTGGCCCCATTCGCTTGCCCTTCATGGCCCCGCTGTCGCCCTTCGTGGCCCCCTTCCTGCCCTTCGTGGCCCCGCTTTCGCTCTCGCTCTTGCTCTCGCTCTTGCTTTCGCCCGTCGTCGCCGCCGTCGTCGTCGTCGTCGTTGTCGTCGTCGTCGTCGTCGTCGTCGTCGTCGTCGTCGTCGTCATCATCGTCATCGTCGTCGTCGTGGTCGATCCCCTGTCCGTCCCTCTTGGGGTCGGGTTGCCGCCGATCAGCGTTGCCGCTGGCCAGGCCGACGGTCCGCGGCCGCCCCGCCGCTTGCCGGGGCTTGGCCTACAGGGAAGAGAGATATACCCCCCAAAAGGGGTACGATCGAAGACGAAGAGGGCGGGTATCGAGGGTTTGGGAAATACACGTTTCAACACTCGAGCAGATACGAGCGGTCAGTCTTGAAATGATGATGATGATTGTTGTTGTTGTCGTCATTGTTGTCGTTGTTGTCGTCGTCGTCGTCGGCGTCGTTGTCGTTGTCGTTGTTGTTGTTGTTGTTGTTGTTGTTGTTGTTGTTGTTGTTGTTGTTGTTGTTGTTGTTGTTGTTGTAGTTCTTGTTCTTGTTCTTGTTCTTGTTGTTGTTGTTGCTGTTGTTTTGTTGTTGTTGTTTTGTTGTTGTTGTTGTTGCTGCTGCTGCTGCTGCTGTTGTTGTTGATGTTGTTGTTGTTGTTGTTGTTGTTGTTGTTGTTGTTGTTGTTGTTGTTGTTGTTGTTGTTGTTGTTGTTGTTGAATTCTCATTTCTGCAGAAAAGTTATTGTTGATCCCCCTCACCGGTGCATACTGTTTTTTCGCAATCAAAATGTGCCCCTCGACGCTCGCACCCTGTTTTTTGGTAGGGAAAGTCTTGGTGCTCAACCTGTGCCCCTGGCCCCCCGGATTACAACAACAACGGCTCCCGCCTGAGACGTCCTCCAAATTTACTCAGGACCCCCGCTCCTGAGACTTCCTCACAATTTACTCAGGATCGGTACTCCCGCCTGTGACTTCCTCGCAATTTGGTCAGGACCCCCGCTCCCATCTGAGATTCTATAGGCTTACGCCACATCCGCCGACCCCTTGTTTCTTGTGTTGCCGTGTCTGTGGGGGGCCACGGGCCCCGGGAGTGGCACTTCTTGTGGGGCCTCTTCTGGGCCTCTTGGCGGCTCCTTTGGGCCCTTTGGGTGCTTCATGGGGGTCTCTTGGGCTTTTTTGGCGGCATTGTGGGATCTTCTGGGAGCCTCAGTGGGAGGAAGGTTGGAATTCTCGGTTCGTGGTTCCTCTGTGGGACCCTTCTTGGGACCGTCTTCGAGCTCTGTTGGGCCGTCTCTGGCGCCTCTGGGGCCGTCTTGGAATTGCTTTCGGTGCATCCCGCCTCCGTGCCTGGGCTCGGATGGCTGATGGGGTCTCGTGGGAGGCCTCTCGGGGGCGTCTTGGAGGCAATTTTGGGGCCTGTTGGGGCCTCCTGGGCGCCTTTTGGGGCTTTCTTGGGGTTCCCTGTGAGGTTTTTGGGGCAACCTAGGGGCGTTTTAGGGCAGAAGGCTCGAAACGTCACCCTCTGGGAGCCGTCCTGGGACCCTCTTGGGCTGTCTTGGAAGCTTATTGGGCCGTCCTGGGGCCCTTTTCGAGGTCTCTTGGGGGCCGTCTTGAAGCGTCTTGGGGCGATATTGAAGGCTTCTTGGGCCGTCTTGGACGTTGTGAGAGCCCAAGAGGCGAATAGGCCAAAACTATACGTTTTCCAATCGGAATGGGGCGATGTTTGTTTCTGGGGGCCCTCTTGGGACGCATCTTGGGGGCCTCTTGGGGCGTCTTGGGGGCTTCTGAGGCCGTCTGGAGGCCATCTTGTGCGTTTTGGAGCGCTCTTTCGGCGACTCGTGGTCCTCTGTGACGTTCTAGGAGGCCTCTTGGAGCCCTCTTGGCCCGTTTTGGGGCCTTCCAGGTCCCCATGAGGCGTTCGTCCCGGGACCGGGGGGGGGGTCAAATTCCTGGTTTGGGGTCCCTGGGGGGAGATTATGGGGGGGAGCAATCTCGCACGCCTAGAGACCCACAACGGGTCGGCGGACTTCCTCACAATCTACTCAGGACTGGCGCTACCGCTTGAGACTTCTCGCAATTGAATCAAGACTGCCTCGCAATTTAATCAAGACCCCCGCTCCCGCCAGAGAACCCTTCACATTTTATTCAGGAATGGCGCTCTCGCCTGTGACTTCCATGCAATTTATTCAGAAATCGCGCTTTCGACGCTCAGGAAACACGCTACTTATTAATCACGCTCTCGCCATACTCAGGCATCCCGCTTGAATTTCCAACCCGCCCGACCCGCCCGTCAGAGGATCGCCCGCCCATCGTGGGCTCCCGCCCGAGACTTCCTTCAGGAACGGCGCTTTCGCCTAGGACTTCCTCGAACGTTCACGCACTTACCTTCCTGCTCCTCCTCCCTCTCCCTCCTCCCTCCTCCCTCCTCTCCTCCCTTCTCTCTCCCTCCTCTCTTCCCTCATCCTTATGCCTCTCTGCCCTATCCCCTCTCCCTCCTCTCCCTCCTCCCTTCTCCCTCCCCTCTCCTGCCTCCTCCCTTCCTCTTTCCTTCTCTCTCTCTCTCTCCCCTCTCTCTCTCTTTCTCTACCTCTCTTATATGTCTTTCTCTCTCGCTCTCTCTGCCTCTAATCAACCGCCCCCCTCTTCGCTCCTTCTCTCCTGGCGTTTTCCCTCTTCCTTTGTCCCTCCCCCTCCCTTCCTGCCACTCTCCCTCGTTCTCCCCCTCCTCTTTTGCAGGGCCCACACCCATTCCAATGACGGGCACATGTACGCCCACGAAGGATTGTCCGCCCGTTCAGGTTTGCCCGCCTGTCTAAGCCCGCCGCCCCCCCGCAAAGAGAAATAATCCCCCCTAAAGGGGGTGTGATCGAAGACAAAAAGGGCGGGTATCGAGGGTGTGGGATCTCGTTTTGAATGACACGCGGGCAAGGAAGAGCGATCAGTCTTAGAATGTACTGTTGTTGTGCTGTTTTTGTTGCTGATGTTGTTTGTTTGTTTGTTTGGTTGGTTGGTTATTTGTCTGTTTTTATGTTGTTTGTTTGTTTGTTTGTTCGTTTGTTGTTGTGTTGTTGTTGTTGTTGTTGTTGTTGTTGTTGTTGTTGTTGTTGTTGTTGTTGTTGTTGTTGTTGTTGTTGTTGTTGTTGTTGTTGTTGTTGTTGTTGTTGTTGTTGTTGTTGTTGTTGTTGTTGTTGTTGTTGTTGTTGTTGTTGTTGTTGTTGTTTGTTGTTGTTGTTGTTGTTGTTGTTGTTGTTGTTGTTGTTGTTGTTGTTGTTGTTGTTGTTGTTGTTGTTGTTTGTTGTTGTTGTTGTTGTTGTTGTTGTTGTTGTTGTTGTTGTTGTTGTTGTTGTTGTTGTCGTCGTTGTTGTTGTTGTTGTTGTTGTTGTTGTTGTTGCTGTTGTTGTTGCTGCTGTTGTTGCTGTTGTTGTTATTATTATTGGTGTAGTATTGTTGTTGTCGATGCTGTTGTTGTTGTCGTTATTGCTGTTGATATTCTTGGTGTTCTTGTTTGTTCTTTGTTACCTGCTTCTCTGCATGCATTTTAGCGATTGTTATTTCCAGGTGGCTCCAGCCAGCCTTGAATCAAGACATTCAAGATATTGAGTCGCAGCGCTGGATATGGAGATGTTGTGACATCGAGACATGGAGCAATCGAGCCGCCCCTCGAAATATACAGGAATCGGAATATCGTAATATCTGGTCTTGTCGCCCCCGCCCCCTGTTCGCCAGGACTTCTCTGCCACCAGGCTGATTCTGTACGGAGAGTTATGCGGGACCTGTGTACCAGAAGTGGTCACTTACGCTAGTGTGCATCCCAGCAGTCGAACCCTCTAAGCCCGATGCGACTGTGGATGGAGTGGTGCGTTCCGCTGGAGTTGCGGCTGTGTCTTATGAAGCTCGACTTGCCGACAGCATCTGAGCAAGACGGGCGGGTTGTTTTTCCCAGCCCTCCTGTGGAGTCAGGTCCTCGTTTTCTCTGCGTTGCGCCGCGCGATCTTCTCCCTTCTCACGATTTCTCATCTCCTCCCTGCCTCTGGTGCTGCTGCAGATGTTCCTGCTGCTCCCAACCATACCGCTGCTCCCAGCTATGCCGCTGCTGCCGCTACCGCTGCCGCCGTCTTGTCGCAGTGCCTACACCTGATGCTGTTGCTGTTCCTTCTGCGCGCTTGCCCATGTCGTCATGCAGTGCACGTGTTGTGTGCTATGACAGTGAGCTCTACTTGCGGCCCCAAGGGCATCTTCACAGGCGGTCTATTGAACTTCACACGCATGTGACTGGGCTCCGGCCCGCCCGCGCCGCCCCTGAGGGGCCTGCCGGCCCGCCGGCCAGCAGACTCGCGCGTCTGCGTTTGTGTCTTTAGAGCCCGTGTCGGCACTTTCCTCACGCACATCGTGCCGGCCCAACTGAGCACGTGCGCATGCGGCCTGCCGAGCCCAGCATGCCCCGCAGGAAATGCCAACCTGCGGCCCCAGTGGGCAGTTCGCATACGGTATCTCGAGGAACTGCCGTCACGCCCCTCACGCAGGTGAGAAGGGAAGTGGGGGAGCACCAGTGCACCAGTGAAACGAAGACGGAGGATTCCAGTCACACCAACCTGGGATCAGCCCGAGGCAGCTTCCAACAATGGCCAACTTGGGGACCCCTGGGAGCTTCTCGGAGGCATTTTGGCGCCACCTCGGGGCTCCCTCGAGACACTTTGGGAGCCTTTGGGGCCCTCCCGGGTCTCTCTCTCTCGGGCCCCTTGGGGAGCCCTTGGTGTTCGGCGGCGGCTCGCCCAGCCTTGTTCTTAGCAGCCAAGGCTCTGGCTTCTTGCCGCTTTGCCTCTGGCGCGAAGGCTCCAGGGCCCTGTTCGGGGGTCTTTCCTGAAGGCCATCCGCTAGAAGAGGGGTGCCTAATCGATGTATTCCCGCAAGTGCTCGATAAATGGCCGAGGGCAGGGGAGAGGGAGGACAGGTATCGAGGGCGCCCGCACGCCATACAGTTCGAATCCATGCGGAGCCCGCTGCCGCCGTCCCGCCCGCCCCCCTCGGCTTCGGTCCGCCAGGAAAGAGGACCGACCCTTGTGGCGGCGCGGGGAGTACCTGGCCGGGGCGAGCGTGGCTGCCTCCGCGCAGGGCGGGTGGCGCGGGCGGTGGGAGGCGTGGTGGGGGAGGACGGCTGGACAGGTGGCAGGTAATAGTTGGGGAGAAGGCGTGCAGTGAAAGGCGAAGACGAGTAAGGGGTAGAGTGAGGGAAGAAAGGGGAGAGGGAATTGGAGGACCTTCACGGCATGCTCACTTCATTGGCTGTGGATCATCGCCTATCGCTTTCCAGCACAAGTTGCCGCGTGGTCTTGGTTTCGACGACTCTTTGGCCTGATAGGCTTGACGTACTCTTGCGGACGCCCTCGTCCTCTACGCTTCAGGCCCTCCGTGTCCTCGGGTCCAAGTTCTTGGTTGTTTCATTCTGCAAGCCTCAACGTCGCCCACCCCGGCCGCTGGACCTGGGCAGGACCGTATCCAGGAGAGGCCTGGGGGTAGAGTTAGTGCTGATTTCAGCGCGGAGGGCTGGCACATCCAGGCCATCTAGCGAGCTGCGCCCTCTTCCGCTGGACCTTCAGGCCGAACCCCCGCTTGGCTATGTTCGGACCGTCATTTGGCCCGCTTCGGGCCATCTTGGGGCTTCTCAGGTGCTTGTTGGGGCTCTTGGGCCACCTCGGGGCCGTTTCGGCAATGTCGAGGCGATCTTGAGGCCTTTGGTGTCCATCCTGCGGCTCCTTGGTAACATCTTGGGGCCAGCTTGGAGCCTTGTTGGGCCGTCTTGGGCAATCTGAGTGGAATCTTGTAGACTGGGGGGCTGCCTCGGGACTTTAGGGGCCGTCTTGCAGCCAGAGAGTGTTTTTTTTGTTGTTGCTTGGGGCATGACGGGCGTCATGGCCCCTGGCTCCCCCCCCTTTAACGTAACGCCCTCCCCCCCCAGTGCGCTCCGGGCACTGCCGCCGTGCGCATCAGGGTCTGCATAGATGTCCGCATAGGAATCCGCATAGGAGTTTGGTCCACAGTCGTCGTCGTCGTCGTCGTCGTCGTCGTCGTCGTCGTCGTCGTCGTCGTCGTCGTCGTCGTCTTCATCGTCGTGGTCGTCGTCGTCGCCCGTCGCTCGTCGCCCGTCGCTCGTCGCCCGTCGCTCGTCGCTCGTCGCTCGTCGCTCGTCGCCGTCGTGCGCGCGTACGGGGCTGGAGCTGTTTTTTTTATTCTGGGCCGATGACGGCAATAGTCTCGGGGGGTGGGGGTGGCAGAGAGGGCCGATGACGTCGCGTTTCGCCGCGGTGGCATCTGGGAATGCTTAGGAATGGCCGAGGGCGGGTAGCAGCAACGTGTAGGTGGCGATCTGCACCACAGCGCCTGTGTACACCACAGTGCTTGCGTGCACCACAGCGCCTGAGTACACCACATTGGCCATGTACACCACAACAGCCGCGTGCAACACAGCGCCAGTGTGTGCCACACTGCCAGCGGGCACCACAGCGCTTGTGTACACAACAGCGCCTGCGTCCACCACGCCAGCCGTGTGCAATGCAGCAACAGTGTACACCACAATGCCTGCGTGCACTAACTCCTATGTGCGTCCAGAAGGCTCCAGCGAAATTGGCCGTCCTAGACCCCATCGGGCTGATTCAATCGACCATTCTGCGGTGCACGCTGAGATGCGCACGTGCGCTGTAGCGCCGACCCGCACGACAAGGAGGATGAGGACGAGGTGGAGGTGGCGGAGGAGGGAGGGGGGGAAAAACGTCGCAGTCTATTGTCAGCAGTTCCCTGGCGTGGCGTTTAGCTGTCCGCAGCAGATCCTCACTTACATGGTCCTCCTACTTGTCCTGTGCACGCAGGCGCTGTGGTGTACACCGGCGCTGCGGTGCACGCAAACATTGTGTACCCATGCGCTGCGTTGCACACGGCTGCTGCGGTGTACGCAGGCGCTGTGGTGTACACGCGCGCTGTAGTGCACGCGAGCACTGTGGTTTACACAAGCGCTGTGGGGCAGATCGCCACGTACATGGTGTTCGCGTCGTCGTCGTTGTCGTCGTCGTGGTGGTGGTCGTCGTCGTCGTCGTCGCCTCGTCGTCGCTCGTTGCTCGTCGCTCGTCGCTCATCGTCGTCGTGCGCGCGGGCGCGGCTGTGGTACCGGAGCCACACGGCGGGGGGGGCGTTGCGTCATATCCCCTGCCGCCCCCCCCCCATGACGCCCGTCATCGCCGAAAATCAACAGACGCTCTCATATTGAGACATTCAGGGATCAAATCAAGCGGAAGAGAATTTACGTAGCAATTGATTGTCTGAGGGACTTTCGCCCTTAGCTGCTGGCCCCCCGGCTGGTTGCTTTCATGGCTACGCTTGTTCGGTTGGTTGGTTAGTTTCTTGGCATGTCGGTTGGCATTCTGACGTCTCGGCTGGTTGGCTGGTTGATTAAACACTTGGCGCCCGCCCCCACGCTGGCCTGTGTGCCGTGCGGCGTGCACCGCCAATGCTGCTGCCCTGCCGCCCCACCTGTGGGCCCACGGGAGCGGCGTCCTCGTCCCTGTTCGCTTTTTCCCCCCGTTCGCTCTCCCTCCCTCACGCGTCGCCATGGCGCCGCTGGCCGCACGCTGCCGCCGCCCTTGGCTGCCAGCAGCTGCCACCCGCGCCTGCCCCGCGCTTGGTCTTGCCGCCAGCCGCTGGTGCCGCAGCCTCGACTGGCTCCTCGCCTGCACCCGTTCCGAGGACGGATCGCTACCTGGCTCTGACACTGTTCGTTTTACACCGTCACACTTGGGATATCCATCCCCGCACTGGGCCCCGCCGCCGCCTGGCCCGCAGACGCAGCAGCCGCCGCGGGCCCGCCGGCGGGGCTGGCCGCGCCGCCCGATCGGGGGTGACCCGTCCCCCCCTCAGCCGCTCGCTCCGCCCGCCCATCTTTCGGCCGCGCTCTCCTCCCGCTCCTCGTTTTGCATGGCGGCATAATTTGCTCTGACGGCGTCCCCGTTCAGGCCAGATCCATTCGCCAGCGCATACATCCCTTGCCTAGCCGCCGACGCAAAACCATGGTTGGCAGTTGGTTTCCGCTGGTTGCTGGTTGACTGGTTGTGCCATATGATATGGTGCAATGTATTAGGACTTGTGGCGTCGGGGCTGCGCGTGTTGTGCTCCACAAGAGACGTGGCCTCAGTATCTTATACAGGATTGTGGCCTCGGGAGCGCGCGTGTGACGTTATTTACAGCGGATCCTGGCTTCGAGAGAGCGTACGCGTCATGTTTTATGAAAGGATTGTGGCCCGAGGGGCGCGAAGTCGTTGTAGTTTACAAGCTGTTGTGGCCTCGGGGACGCGAGGGCGCTGTAGTTCAAAGGATTGGCCTCGGGAGCGCGAGTGCATTGTAATTTGCAAGGGGTAGTGGCGGGAACGTGGGTTCGATATTTTCACGCGTGCCAGGCCATTCAGAGAATTCGAAAACTTGGTTTGTTCGTGAGGCTCCTTGCGAGCAGGGGGGTCGCGCTTTCTGCAACCTTCCAACCTCGAATCGAGGAACCGCGATCTGTGCACCATGGGGCCTTGGGGCGGAGGCGCTGCACTGAAATCCGCAGTCAGTGACTGTCCAATCACTCATCCGGAGTCGCGTCACTGCAGTTGTGAGCAAACGCTTCTCGGTTGCCGAAAAGCAGCCGCCGCAGCCTGATGCCCCCCACAAGGGGGGACCGGCGGATCCTACAATGTTTTCGGGCCCTCCTGCGTTTCTCTCTTGAAGCGGAGCAGGACAGTTTTTATAATGTTTCGTTTGGAGGTGCTGACTGGCGTCTGACTGCCTTGGGCCACTTGTCGCCCGCGGACTTACAAATGTTTCGTCTGGAGGCGTCCCTCCGCGAATCCTGGGTGATAGGACGAGAGGAAAGTCTAAAGACAGCAGCAAGGCAGTACTCCAGCATTGTCCTTCACAGCCCAGACGGAACCAGTATTTTTTTTCAGGCGTACGTGAATGAGCATTCTAGACACGTTAGTTTGTGAATGCACGATCTCCAGCTCTAGCCGTCGTCGCATGGATGTGCTACCGTGGCCTGATGCCTCCAGATCTATGCCTGTCAGGCGTCGATTTGTAGAATTCATCGGACAGCATGGCCGAGCAATGATGTTCAAATCCTTTATATTTCGACCCAGTGTCCCTCTTCCTGGCGCTGTTGCATAGCAGCAGCAGCAACGTTGACAATGGAGACATTCTGCACCGCTTCCCGATTTGCACTGCTGTTGATGCTGCTGCTTCCATGTCTGTGCCTCTCGTCGACGCCATTGCGCGCGAGAGAACCGCGCGAGAGAGGTTGGCGCTCTCGCTATGGCTGTGATCGCACAGCGCGGCGGCCCCAAGTAGAGCTTCGCTAGCCAGCCCGCTGTCTTTGCACTCTTCCTGCCAGCTCAGGCCCTCTTGGCCCGTCCTAGGCACTTTTCTGGAGCTTCTGCCTGTCCTCACCGTCGGGCATCGACAGAGGTGTCCCTGCCCCGAGGTGTCCTCAGTTTTTTCTTCTTTACTTTCTTGAGCCCCTGGAGGCCCTCTGGGCCTTGCGTGGGGTGCCCCGGAGGCCACCCTGGGCCTCCCTGGAACGGCCGGGGCCACCCTGGGGTCAGGGGCCACCTTTGACAGCGCCCGAGTCGTCGCGCGCGCCTCCCCGGTCTCCGCCGCTGGACGACCCGAGGTGGGCAGGGCTGCGCGCGGACCCGCCGGGGCTCTCCGAGCGCTGGCCGCAAATACCCGGCGGATACAGGATGGTGTGACTCGGGCGTTGCGCAACGGGGGGGCGATAAGTGTGTGTGTGTGTGTGTATATGTGTGTGTGTGTGTGTGTGTGTGTGTGTGTGTGTGTGTGTGTGTGTGTGTGTGTGTGTGTGTGTGTGGGGGGGTGGGGTGGGGGGGGCGAGGCAAGGTGCACCTTCTGCGCCCTCCCTAAATGGAGCCCCTGGGGGCCCAACGTGTGCACGAAGGGTGCACGTCTCTCCCCCCCCCCCCAATGTATCGCCCCCCCAACGAGCAACGCCCAAGCGGCGGATAGCCCAGGGGCGGGCATCACACGCATTCGTTGGGGAGCCTCGTCAAAGACCCGGGCCCCTGGGCTACCCGCCCATGTTGCTGCCGAGGACTCGCCTTCGCACGAGCACCTCTGCGCGCGCCCGTCCCCGCGCTTGCCTCCTTGAAGATTCAGGATGCCTCGCGGCGCGAGACAGATACCCCCCACCCCTATCTTGGCCACTCTTCACACAGCCGCACCTTCAGGCACATGCACATGGGCACACGCACACAGGCACACGCACACGCACACGCACACACAGACACATGCACACACGCAAACACGCACACACACGCGCACACACAGAGAGGCAACATACGTTCACGCAGACCGCAGGAGCACGGCAGAGCAGCACGGCAAAACACAGCAGTGCCGCAGACCACCACGCACGGACACACATGCATATATTCCATGCACGCACGCGCACGCTCGCAGCACGCCACGACATATCTGCGCGGCAGACCAACAAAAGAGCATACTTCACATACCTAGTGGACAAAAGCGACGCTTCCCGTTCTTGTCCGGTCAGGTTTCCCCGGAGGGACCCCCGGAGGCTTCCTGGGGGGTTCAAGGGCCTCCCAGGTGTGTCTGCGGCCGAAGTCTCCTCGTATGGGCGCGCAGGGCATCCCCAAGTCCTGAGAGCTTCGAGGCGTGCTTCGGCAGCACCAGATGCGTTTCTTTAGGCCTCAACAGGGACCGGTTCAACAGGGACCGGTTCAACAGACGACTGGTTCAGCAGACATCGGTTCAACAGACGACCAGTTTAGCAAGGACCAGTTCAACAAAGACCGGTTCAACAGGACCGGTTCCGCAGAACCGGTTCCACGGAACCGGTTCCACAGGACCGGTTCCGCAGGACCGGTACCACAGAACCGGCTCCACAAGCCCGGTTTCACAGGACTGGTTCCACAGGACCGGTTCCACAGGATGGGTTCTACAGAGCCGGTTCCCTCCTGCTTCTCTCTCTTGTTACACTGCTGCTGCTGCTGCTGTTGCTGCTGCTGCTGCTCCTCTTCTTCCTCCTCCTCATCATCCATCCCTCTCTGCCCTCCCGCCCTCCCCCATCCCTCGTTGCCGCTACGTCCCCCCGCCCCACATCCTTCATCCCTCCCTACTTCCTCCTTCCCTCTCCTCCCTCATCCATCATCGAGGGCCACCCACCCGACCCGTCCTGCCCGACCCGACCCGACCCGTCCCGCCCGTTAGGGTCCGCCCGCCGGACCCGTCCCGCCCGTTAGGGTACTCGCGTGCCAAATCGATGGCGCATCATTCTTTAATGTCCGCCCGACCCGACCCGACCCGCCCGTTAGTAGGGTCCGCCCGCCGGACCCGTCCCGCCCGTTAGGGTACTCGCGTGCCAACTCGATGATGTATCATTATTTTATGTCCCGCCCGCTCGACCCGACCCGTCCCGCCCGTGAGGGTCCGCCCGCCCGACCCGACCCGTCCGCCCGCCCGCTGGACCCGTCCCGCCCGTTAGGGTACTCGCACCAACTCGATGATGCATCATACTTTAATGTCCCGCCCGCCCGACCCGACCCGTCCCGCCCGTTAGGGTCCGCCCGCCCGACCCGTCCCGCCCGTTCGGGTACTCGCGTGCCAACTCGATGGTGCCAACCCGTTAAGGTCCGCCCGCCACGCCAGACCCGTCCCGCCCGTTAGCGCATTCGCGTGCCATCTCGATGATACATCCCGTCCGCCCGCCGACCCGACCCGTCCCGCCCGTTAGGGTAGGACCCGCCCGCCGGACCCGTACCGCCCGTTAGGGTACTCGCGTGCCAAATCGATGGCGCATCATTCTTTAATGTCCGCCTGCCCGACCCGACCCGACCCGCCCGTTAGGGTCCGCCCGACCCGACCCGACCCGTCCCGCCCGTTAGGGTACTCGCGTGCCAACCCGATGGTACATCATATTTTAATGTCCCGCCCGCCCGACGCGACCCGTTATGGTCCGCCCGCCCGACCCCGGCCCGCCCGTCAGGGTCCGCCCGCCCGCCGGACCCGTCCCGCCTGTTAAGGTACTCGCGTGCCAACTCGATGGCGCACCATATTTTAATGTCCCGCCCGATCGACCCGACCCGTCCCGCCCGTTAGGGTCCGCCCGCCCGACCCGACCCGTCCCGCCGTTAGGGTCCGCCCGCCCGCCGGACCCGTCCCGCCCGTTAGGGTACTCGCGTGCCAACTCGATGATGCATTCTACTTGAATGTCCCGCCCGCCCGACCCGACCCGTCCCGCCCGTTTGGGTCCGCCCGTTCGGGTCCGCCGGCCCGCCGGACTCGTCCCGCCCGTTAGGGTACTCGCGTGCCAACTCGATGATGCATGATACTTGAATGTCCCGCCCGCCCGACCCGAGCCGTCCCACCCGTTCGGGTCCGCCCGCCCGGGCCCAGCGGCGCCAGTCTCGAGAGCGGCGGTCGCGAGAGCGGCGCGCAGGACGGCGGAACGGGGGACTCCAGCGGTGCCAAGATTGGGGCGGCTGCGAGCTGCGTGGCCTATGGTGCTGCCAGGTGGGACGACTTCCTGAGAGACTTTGCGTGGGCCGCTGCATGCGTTGCAGGCACCAGCGGGCAGCTGGAAGCGAGCCTTGATCCCAGCGGGTGCTTTTTAGGATACGCCTACGCGGCCAACCGTTGATGCAACATTTGGCCACGCTATTGGACCATGCGTTTCCCGAGCCGTTGTGGAAGCCCTTCGGGAAACACATAGACGAAGAGGAGGACTCTCGGAGTCTCCTGGGAGCGTCTCGGGGGCCTCAGGGAGGCCTCTTGGTGCTTGGGGGCTTTCTTGGGCCTTTTACGGGCTTTTGAGGGCTTCTTAGACGCCTCTCTTCCGGCCCCATGTGCTCGGACCCCATTTGGGAGGCCTCGGCAGCTCAGACCCCATTTTCGGGGGCCTCGAAAGAATGGTGACGAACACCGACTGCATTGACTGCTGCTGTTGCCGCCAGTCGCCCTAGCTGTGTGGGTCGTGCTGCTGCTGGTCGCCGTCGTGGTGGAGGTGCGTTTGGCCGCCGTCGCGGCGGTGGCGGTGTTGCTGGTATCGTGGCGGCGGCCTCTCGCTTCCTTCGCCCAGGCAGCTCATTGTCGCACTTTCGCTTTCCAACCGCCGACCTCGCGCGCTGGGCTGCCTGCGAGGCGATGTGGCCGTACGTGCTTGCCACCGCTGGCGCTGCCCTCTGGCTGTACTGCGGTGGTGGCGAGCCAGATGGGCGGTGGTTCCTGGCCATCTGGCTGTACTGCGCCGTCGTCGTCCTTTTTGCCGTCGTTATCGTGCACCTCTCCGTCCTCCGTGGCGTGCGCAAACCAGCCCAGATTCCCCGTGCCGCTTCCTTTCGCCAGCGCATCGTCGACCGAACCCCTCTGGCCACCGTTGCCGCAGCCATTCCTGATCGATTCGCGCAGCACACGAGGCCGGCCCATCTCCCTGCAGACCTTCTGTCCGCGACGCGGGCTTGTCATGGCTGCGCAGGCGGCTCAACCCCAGGCTCGCGGGCGTGCAGCGGCCGCGGCGGCGCCCCCGGCGCCCGCGCCCGCGCCGCCTGCGCCCGCGCCGCCGGGCCCCGCCGAGTCCGCCTGTCAGTTCGTCTTGTCGAAGCGCAACGGTCAGAAACTCATCCACGATGGCTTCATCTACAACCTCCGCTACACCGCAAAGAATGGCAACCGCACCTGGTGCTGCGAGAAAGGTGCTCAGGTGTACGGCGGGCAAGTGCAGGCCCGCGTGGAGGGGCTCCGGGCCGTCGTCCAGCAGGCGACGTTGCGTGCGCACCTGCCCACTCCAGACAAGGCCGTCGCGGAGCAAGTGCGTACCAGGGCAAGTGCCGCTGCGTGGCAACAGCCCGACGCCACTGCCGCGAACGTGGCCTCGGCCGCTCTCGCGGGGGTCCCGCAGGCGTCGTTGGCCGCGACGCCCACCGCGACCAACCTGAAGCGGGCTTGCTGGAGGGCACGGTTGTCAGAACAGAACAAGCGCCTGAAGAGCGGGGAGCAAGCGCCGCAGGATTTCGACTGCTCCACGCTGGAGGTGCCCGCCGTCCCTGACACTCTCAAGCAGGTGGACGGCGAGGAGTTCCTGGCGCGCGACAGTGGCTGCAGCGGGCGACGAGCGCATCCAGGTGTGGGGGGCTGCACGAAGTACTTCGATTTCCTGGCCACGGCGGGCGTCTGGCTGGCAGACGGCACGTTCCGCGTAGCGCCAGCCCCCTTCCTCCAGGTGTGCGCGGCGCGCGGGCGCCAGAACTGATGCGTCGCGCCTTGCTGTTACATCTTTCTGGCGGACAAGAAACTGGCAACGTGCAGGCGCGCTTGGGAGGCCGTGCTCCAGTTGCTCTCCCCCGAGGGCCCCGAGCCGACCCTTCTGCTCGATTACGAGAAGGCTTCCTACCAGGCGGCCTCGGCCGTGTTCCACGAGATCAACATCTGCGGGTGCTACTTCCACTTCCGCGCCGCCGTGCGCGAGCGCGCAGTCGACCTGGGCTTGAGCAACAGGTGCGGCGGGAACGCTGAGCTTCGCCTGCGCGTCGGGAAGCTATGCGCCCTCGCGTCCCCCCCGTCGTCTCCGTGGCGGACTGGTTCGAGACCCTGGCCACCGAATTCCCTAGCGAGGAGCTCGAGCTCGTGTCATACTTCGAGAAAACGTGGGTGGGCGAGAAACTGGCCAGGGCCAGGGTGCGGAAGGCCCCCGTGTCCCCCGTGGACATCTGGAACGTTCACCATCGCACGCTCGACGAGAAATTCCTCGCCACGAACGCAGCGGAACTCTTCCACCGCCACCGCGCGGCTCAGTTCCACAAAGGCGCCCGCCCCGCATGCCCGACCTTCATCCTGAGTTTGCACAAGCAGCAGAGGATCACCAGCCGGGACATCGCTGAGATCGCCATGGGGGGCGAGAAGAAGCTGCGCGAATCCACGCGGGTTCGCGGAGACAAGCAGTGCAATTTGGTGAATAAGTACTTGGGGGACAAGGGCGGGATCTCCCTCGTGACGCAGCTGGCGCACCTGGCCATGGGCGAGGAGTGACGAGCGCGCGGCCGCGCGTGACGAGTCTCTCAGCCGCCAGGCCGATCGCGCCCGCGCGATTGTTTTGGTCTCCCCGGGGAGAAACCCAGGAGTGACCGCCGAAGCTTCTGCAGCGCAGCCTCGTTCGTCTTCCATTCGGTTTTGCTGCGGGATGGGCGCGGCGCTCCGAGACCATTCGGCTTGCTGATCGCATATTGGGAGCGCCGCTGTCAACAAGGCAAAATCTGTCCAACAGGGGCCCTGGGCTTAGCCGAGAGCTCACGCCATTCGAGATCGTGGGCGCCCGCGAAGCGGGCTGCCCACCCAGG